TCTCCCCCCCCCCCCCCCCCCCCCGCTCAAGTTGATTTGTGTATACCAAGAATAGATAAAGTGAAAGCATCCTAATAAAATTTCCCATTTGTTTTGCATACCGACAATAAAATTTTAAAGATAATAAGTTAAGATTTTGTGGCAATTCAAGCTATAATTTTACTTCATATATGAATAAGTTAAAATAAAGAGTGAACGAGGAATATAAATGACGATGTGAGTTAAATTCAATGGATCAATAGGTTAATTTACTTATTTTATGGGTTGGATTTAATAAATCAACTCAACAGATTCAATTTGTCAACTTGCGAGTCAACCTGTCAATTTACTTTTTTTTTATATATATTTTTAAAAGATAAATTTATAGTAAATTTATATTGGTTCAAGTTTTTACTTTATTTTATAACTTAACTTCTTTTTATAGGCAACAATTCTCATTTTATATTAAATAAAAGTTTATTATTTTAATCAATATTTTTACTGTTACATTTTCACGTATAGTGAGTGACAAAATGGTTAGTAACAATTAAATTGTTATTGTCATGGGATTCAGAGCAAGTATATGAAGTCAAAAGTAACAATTAAATTATTAGTTTAGTTAGTTTATTATGTGATTAATGAAAATTATAGTAGGGATATTTGGGTGTACTTTTTATTAAACATGATATTAGTTACTACTTTCTTCTTTCTTACTTATTTTATTAAGTCATTGACCTCTCATTTACATATTTTGCTGCCCAGCGTTTTTTAGTGTTAAATATTTTGAATCACATTCCAACTACATAATTATATTCTAGGAGATAAGAAAATATGTTTGAGGATCACCCTTTTGTTTAGCATTTTTGTTATAGCCTCTTAATTTTGTATTTACTTTTTATTTTTCTCATTGTAGGGGAGTCTTGTTTTAAAGGACTTTGATATAAAAAGGGAGGCTGGGGGCATCTCTTTCAGTGCTGTCCAAAAGAAATTTAGAATTGAAGTGTTAGAAAATTATGTAGAGATCCATCTCTTTTGGGCTGGAAAAGGGACTTGCTGCATACCAGCTCAAGGTACTTATGGTCCCTTGATTTCAGCCATTAGTGCTATCCCAGGTAAAACTTCAAAAAGATAGACATTTCATATATTTTTTCTCAACTGATGCTATGTGAAAATGTTTTGTTTTAATTCGACTTTTCTTAGTTTTACTAGTAATTATAGTAATCCTCCTTATTTTTCCTAAACATTCCCTTTATTTATTAACTTTTCACGATATATTTTTTTTTTTTACCCTTGTTTATGTTTAAGCAATATTGAGTCATTAAATTTCTTGAATGAAGTTATATTGTCATGAACAATTTAGAACTTAGAATTTATGGAAGAAAAAAAATTTCTATTGTGATTTAGTCACATGACATCTCTTTTGTCTGCCTATAAAAATGTCGCAAATACTTATAGTGGTGTTTAATATTGATTTTTTTTATAACTTATAGTCTTTCTTATATCACAATTTTTATTTTATATATTTCTCGTTTGTGTCGTAGATTTCACGCCTACTGTTAGTAACAAACCTCCAAGTAGTAAAAGGAATAATGTTGGTGTAATCGTGGGAACAGTTGTTGGAGTTGTAAGCTTTCTATTTGTTCTTGCAATCTTCTATATCATTCGTAAACGAAAACACCATGACGATAATGAAGGTAAGTATTGCATAATATATCTCACCATTTAAGATGTTTTCTCACATATTTGTAAAGCAACTCTAAACATTATAGTGAATGACCTTATTGCATGGTGTGATAAGATAACATCTAAGGGACATTCCATGTTTGCAGTTTTAGAAATTATGAGGTCATTCTCAACCAACACATTCTATGTTAAGATTTTTTGTATCTTATCCGAAAGGTAGTAGACAATACTTTTCACATTTACACTTTTTAACAAGTCATCTTAATATAAAATATTTAGGATCAATTGATGAATACGCAAAATTTACAAATTGAATAAGTAGAAAATGAGACATCATCCCTAACTCTCATCTTGAACATAATATGTTAATTCATTTATGCTTTTTCCAACCATAACTGATCATTGAATTTGCAGAGCTTCTAGATATTGACACAAAGCCATACATTTTTAATTATTCTGAGTTAAAGAATGCTACTGATGACTTTAATCTTGATAACAAGCTTGGAGAAGGAGGTTTTGGGCCTGTTTATAAGGTAAATTAATATTCAGTTAAGTTAGAAAGGATAACTATATTTCATATCATAAAAACTTCATTATTCTCAATATAGACTTGCATAGTCCCAATGATTCATTATATATATATATTTTGTTGACACTATAAAATAAAAGAAATTGTCATATAGTGATACATATTTTATAGTGAAAAAATACATGTCACTAAAAATTACTTTTACCTACACTGTAGATATAAGATGTTAGTATATTGTTAAAAAGTGTAAGTATAGTCTATAGTAACACATAATATATGTTGTTAAATCTTATTCAAAATTAATAATAAAATTATGTAAAATTATATGTCAAATAGATTTATACTTATGTATTATATATTTAGTGACACATTTTATATGTAACATTTCTTATAGTATGATAAAGGTGATAAATATTTATGCTAGTATATATGAAATATTTGAGGCATACATAATTCTCTTTGTAAAATAGTACATAGAGGCAATATCTTGTTCATATAGTACTAAAAGATTAACATGTTTCCCTTTTTCTCTTATAGGGGACACTTAATGATGGAAGAGTTATTGCTGTGAAACAACTATCTGTACAATCCAATCAAGGAAAGAGTCAATTCATAACTGAGATTGCCATTATCTCTACTGTGCAACATCGTAATCTTGTAAAATTACATGGATGTTGCATTGAAAGAAATAAAAGACTTCTAGTCTATGAGTATCTTGAAAATAGGAGTCTTGATAAAGCATTATTTGGTATGAATGATAGTATATATTTCTATTAATTTGTATATGCATAAGTGTTAGAGATATTAAGCCATTTTTAAGCTTCCATTTAATAGCTTCATAAGCTAGCTTTCATGACAATATGAGTGCATTTTTGCTTCTTCTTTGTTGACAAATTAAGGACAAATATATGGTTTTGTTTGAGCAGGAATTTGTTTAAATCTCAATTGGTCTACACGTTATGATATATGCTTGGGTGTAGCGAGAGGTTTAACTTATCTACATGAAGAATCTCGAGTCCGTATTGTACATCGTGATGTGAAGTCTAGTAATATTCTTCTTGATCATGAGCATATTCCAAAAATATCTGATTTTGGTTTGGCAAAATTATATGATGACAAAATGACCCATATAAGCACTCGCGTGGCTGGGACAATGTAAGTCATCACTACAATAAATGTTACATATAGTGACATACAAAAAGTGTCAATATAAATATAATATATGTAGATATATATCTATTAGGCATATAGCTACACACAATATTAGTGTTGATTTTGAATGAGATTTAACAACATATTTTGTGTGTCACTATAGTTTATACCCACACCTTTTTAATATATACCAACATATATTATATATTTATTGTGTAGCTAAAAGTAATTTTTAGTAACACATATTGTATCACTATAGGATATGTGTCACTATATGACAATTTTCTCATTAAAACCTAATCATCTTGTATTTATCTTTTTATTTTCTTTTTTTTTATTGCATATGTAATTGTTTTTATAAACAATAAGCTTTTGGTGTGCTCAATCTTTCATGATGAAGTGGATATCTTGCCCCGGAATATGCCATGCGTGGACATCTAACAGAAAAAGTTGATGTATTTTCCTTTGGTGTCGTGCTTTTGGAGATAGTTAGTGGAAGGTCAAATTCTGATTCAAGTTTGGAAGGAGATAAGATGTATCTTCTGGAATGGGTATGAACTCTACTATACTTCCTATGAATGTTAGGGCTATTTACTTTGAGAAATATATTTTTATTTTCTATTCTTAGTTTAAATTATTAAAGTACTATTATTTTTCATTTTATTTCTTATTTTCATTTCTTATGCATACTTTTGAAAAAAAAAATGAAATAAGGATAAAGCTGACCTGTTAATTTGTTATTAAATTTGAACACAACGTTTTCTCAAACAAAAATGACCTTTTAAATTTCTTATGATGTGAACGAGCGTTATTATATTTCAACGTCTATTTCAATTATTATATTTATGTAGCACTTTCATTTCCATTTCGGTTTTGAAACCAATAAAGTTGAATAAATTAAAAAAAAAACTCAAAATATCAAATTCCTTAATTATATATTGAGATTAATAAGAAACTTTTTATAAGAAGTTTCTTATTTCTATTTACATAAAAAAATACCAAAATTAAGATTTCTTGAGTAAATTTTTCTACTTCAACTTTTATAGAAGTTCTTTCATTTAACTTTTGTACAAATTGCATGGCACGAGTTAGATGTCAAATTTTGAAATAAGGTTAAACTGTTTGTATATTTCTTATAATTTCACGTATTTTACATTTTAGTCTCTATAGTTTAAAATAAATCTTCTTAATCTTTATATTTTTCTTTTTTAAATTTTTTAGTCACCATAATGTAAAATAGATCATCTTAGTCTTTATACTTACATATTTCTAATCCTTTTAGTTTTTATAAGTAATTAATTTTTTTTTTGTAACATCTCTTTTGTGTTAACGTAGTAAAGGTCTTCAATTTTATGAAAGTAAAAAAAAGATTTTTGAAGTATAGGCATCTTAAGTGGAAATATAAAAGACACACAAAGTGTTGAAAAACCTAATTAAGAGTAACTCTTATACGAAAATTGAATTAATACATCTTTCATGTCGATATGAAAGAGACAATATTACAAAAAAGTAAAATAACATGAAGTAAAAATATTAAAAACTGCAAGTAAATGAACTAAAGATCAATTTTAATCTAAGAATTAAAAATGATTGAAAAAGATAAGCATAGGAACTAAAAAGATATATTTTAAATTATAAAGACTAAAAGATAAAGTAAGTGAAATTATAAGGAAAAAATATTTTAATCTTGAAATAATATTATTTTATTTAATTTTTTAATTTACTTCTCTATATATTTATGAAAAAAAAAATCCTAACAGACTTAGAACAAATAATATCAACACAACCTTTAAGCTATAATGCGCCTATATCACACGCATTCATGTTGATACAATTATATATATGATACCCTTAACATTAGGGAGACATGGTAAAAAGGTTTACTAATTTATCATTAGTGTTAACAAATGAGGTAGTGATTTCTAAAATGAATATCATTAATTTCAAAAATGAAATTGCAATAATTTCCCAAATAAATTATAGAATTTAGGACTTTGTCATTATGTTTTCATGGAGGAGCGAAAGATTAGGTATAACAGTACAGATATATTACCATGTGACATCACTTATTTAAGTCTTATAAATCACTTTTACCATGGGTAAGGCTACATATATCCTCCCTTTCCACCCCCTAGACTTCATCAATGAAAAACCCTAGCACCCTGGGTTTCCCCTTTTTTTTGTTTTTTTGTTTTTCTTTTGAATAAGCCAATAAATATATTGAACTTTAGAGCCTAAGAAATGCTCACCCAAAAGAGTAATAGTACATGATATAAACTATAAACACCCCACTTATGTATTAACCAAATAGAGAAAAATAATTATAGATCAATTTGGTATCACCCCATCCTCAATAGGTACAAGTCCTTTAAATGTCACTGAAGTTCTCGAATGGCCCAACAACGAAAACAAATGACATGAAAGAACAAAGCCATCAAACCCAATTATGAAAATTTTGCTTAGCACTCCCACAGAAGCTACTGGATTTTGTAACCAACTAATTAACAAAAGAATAATTGAAATCTTTGTTATTTGCTGTTAGCAAGAGCCAAGACTGAAGTTCAACTTTTTCCATCAATCACTCCATATCTAGCTCTACTCGCTTAAAAATTTGAGCATTTCTTGTGGATCATATTCACCAAATAGAAGCATATAAATATCATAACAAATGCCACATTACTAAGACATGGAAATAAACCTTCAAATTGTTGGAAGTTTGTCTTGCAATCATTGTGAAGACACGAAGACAAACCCCACCAACTCAAACAATTCCCTCTTTTATTGTTTTAGCAAGATTTAGATTTGAGGCATTATGTGATGGTTTTCTTTTAAAAATGATTTCAGTATACCTTATTTTATAAGACTTCAGTTCATGAAGTTGTTTCAAACCATATAAGCTAACATTTAGTAATAGTCACTATTGATTTCCATTCCTTACCATGGAGAAAGACACTCAGAATACTAGAATAGTGTAACTAATAGATGAAATAGATGCATAGGTATATTGAGAATTTTTTTTTGTTGAATGTGCTTTGCATCAACAGAATATACGCATCAATATATTGAGTCTTTCTGGATGGTTTCAATCAATACTGGTCCAATAAAGGGGAAACCTGAATATCAAGAATAAGGATTTCCCAAGAATGGTCTATCATATTCCTAAGCAAATGCTCTCCTAATATATAGAATTTATTTATTTATTTATCCAAGTGACAAATAGAACAAAACTACATGAATGTCCTTCTCCCTGCGGGTGTAAACTCATGGCACAATTGACTAGGTGACAAGTTTATATCATTCGTTGGTGGACCTACATTATAGTTAAGGTGAACAAATGTACCCTATCATTTTATACTACTAAAGCCTCACATTACTGGAAAATGTTGAGAGAAAAAGAGATGGATAGAGAAAATATACCAAACTGGGATATTAATTTGTTAGCGTGCTTCCTTTTTTTTTCTTTTAGATGAACCTAGGTATGAATTACCTTAGAATATACGGACTAATGTTTTGAGATATTAAGATAGATTTAAAAAGTTGATATCTTTTAATATATATATATATATATATATATATATA